ACTCTTTACGGGGAATGTGTGCGGAGGCTGTTAGGGGTGCTGGGCAACTCCCCAACTCCGCGGGGCCCTGGTCGGCCCTGCTCCCGCGTCCGAGATCTTCGGATCACTCGCTGCGCGCTGCGCGGGGCCGGCGACTTGGGGCGGCGGGGCTGGGAGTACCTTGACCTGGGGTCCCCGAAGCCGGGAGCCAGTCCCGCCTCGTCTGGGCCTGCCTTGCCCCCCCGGGGCAAGGCCTGGACCCGGTCGCAATGATTTGTACCCCTGGGGAGTCAAGCCGCCCGGGTCGCCCTCGCGGTCTCAGGGACTTGTCTGGAGCGGCAGTGGCTGAGTCCGGGTCCGGCGCCACCGCCGCCTGCGTCCCGAGCGCCACCCGCCCGGGGTACCAGCCGCCTAACTTCTTCCCGGGACAGAGACAGCGCTCGCGTCCCGGGAGAAGGTGGGAGCTCACTGGGCCGGATTCGGCGAGGGCGCCGCTCTCAGCGCGGCAGTGGCAGCGAGGGAACTGGTAGAGAGAACTCAACCACAGGGCAGGGAGCCCCCCACCCAGGACCCAGCGGGCCCCAGCGGACGCGGGGGGAAGATGCCCGCCTTGGGCAGAGGTCCTCTCTTGTTTTCGCGGCACTGGCGGGACCGTGTGCTCCGCGAGCTCCCACTTTGGGACCGTGGCTCCAGCAGTTCGAGACCCCCAGTGGAAGGCCAGGGGCGTGAAGGCAGACCCTTTGCTCTTTCTCCCAGCCAGGCGATTGCTCTGCTGCCTGGAGCAGTGGTGTTGGGGGCTGCACAGCCCAGGAAATTCCAACCCAGAGGAAAGGCCGCCTCGTTCCCACTCTTCTCAGCGGCCCCACACTGCCCCTTGCCACTGATGGGTAGGGGTCTTGGGCAGGGGTAGAGAATTCTCCCTGAGCTGAACCTGTCTGGGGCGGGGGTCCCTTGCCTGCTCCCCAGCTCCCCAGGTTACCTCTGAGTTAGCAAACCATTTCTGTGCCTTCTCTGTCTCTCTCTCTCTCTCTTTTGTCGGAGGAGGGTGAGAGAGGAGAGAAGCCTTCTACCTGACTGGTCTCTGAGAGGCCTTTTGGGGCCTGACATTGCCCCTTCCTTTGCAGGGGCCAGGGGAGCCCTAACTTCTGTTGGATAAACTCTCAAGCCCTGATTCCTTGATTTCTGGGTCAGGGGGAGGTGCCAGTCCCAGACCTGCACCCTGCGCCCACCCACACAGGAGCTGGGACAAGGCCATGGCGCAGTCCGCACTCCCCCCACCCATATTTAGTTGCAGAAAATGAAAGAGGCACCTTGGGCTGGGAGAGCCTGGGATGTGGTGGTGCTGGTGCTGGTGGTGGTGATGTGTGGAGCTGGGGTGTGTGGAAGTTGTCTGGGGCAGAGGTAAGGCTGGTTCTTCTGGCCCCTCTGTGGGCAGCCAGCCGGACCACTGGCCCACGCTCCCTCTGGCCCAGAGAGGCTCAGGAGAGCAGTGCCTGTGCTTAGGGCTGTCAGCTGCCCTGGTGGATCTGCTCCTGTTCCTCGGGCTGACAGACACTTGGGGATTCCAGAACACCGGACAAGATGCTCAGGACCATCTGGCTCCCACAGGCCCCTGTATGGGTGAGGACAGACCCACGGCCCAGGTGGCAGTGTCCTGTGAGGCTCAGACCCCGGCGTGGTTCATCTCACTCCAGTGCTCGGTGCCTCCACCCTACTCCTTTCCCTCCCTCTCCCCAGGGCAGAGCCCCAGTCTACCTTACACCTGACCCTTCCTACCATCTGCCCTTCTTGTCCTGACCTGTCCTTGCTCAAGGCCAATACCCACCTGGGGGACCTTGCCCAGAAGCCAGGCCCCAGTGGGCCTGATAGGCTGGGCGCTGGGGGACCAGTGCAGGAGCTGGGGCTGTGTCCATGCCACTGGGCTGGACTGGGCCAGCCTCTTTCCTGCCTGCCCTCCCGCAGCTCCAGCAGGGGGCGGGCAGGGGAAAGCAAGGGAAGGACAAGTCGAACTGCATCCTTTTGGTGTCCAGGAGCATCTTGGGAAGAGGCTGGGGCAGGGGCAGGGGCAGGCAGCTGGGGCCCTGGCACCACCTGGGGAGGGTTGGGATGGCCTCCCTGCTTCGCAGACCAGAGTCTTGGGGCTGTCTCCCTGTGAAGGGGAGGGCTGGGCTCTGACCCCTGTGTGGGGTGTGGTGGGTGGGGGTGCGGTGGGCACAGCCTCTGTCTCCCTGCAGGTGGAGCAACTCCCAGTGCCAGGAGGTTGACGCTGAGACTTCACCTCGGGGTGGGTCGGGTCACCCAGCAGGAGGATCCCCAAGGGCAACGCCTGGCACAGAACATTGGAGAGCTGCAAGTGTGCTGGCTGTGCCCTTGCCCAGCCTCATAGTGACCTGGTTGCCTTGGCTACTGACTCTTTGTCTCCCTGCCCCTCCTTTGGCCTGTTGATGCTCTGGGAAATCCCAGGCTCTGTCCTGCCTCTGAGCTTCCACTCATGCTGTTCCCTCTGCACTTCCCCCTCCCCTGGTAACTCTCATTTCTTCTCCTGCTCTGCCTTCACCCTCACCTGGGCTCAGCCTGCCGCACCCCACAGAGGGAGCCAGGCCTTCCCTCTGTACCCTCTTGTGCCCTCTGCCTCCGCGGGACCGTGTTTCACCACTGGTTTCTATGTTGGCTTCTGGTCAGGACCTGGTTCTCCCAGGCTGGGCCAGCTGGGCTCCTCTGTAGTGACTAACCCGCACTGAGCCTCCAGGAGGAGCCCAATAAACCTTTGTGAGATGAGCAAATGCGTGCAGTGTGAACTTACTGGAAACTCGTATTGGGTGAACTTCAATGTATTTCATTCTGCCCTTTTGCACACCAGCAGGGGTGTGTCTGCAGCCAGGCCAGGTGAAGTCTTACATCCTGGGGTGGGGGGGTCCCCTTCGGGTGTGGTGTCTGATGAAGGCATCTGGCCCCTGGCCCCTGAGCCGGTCTGTTTCCCTTCCTGGGATAAGCAGGCCCTCCCCCGGGCACCCGGGCCCCTTTCTGGATGTGCTCATGCGTCTCGCTTCCTTCAAGAATGATTTCTTCTTTTCCAGCCCCCTCTCTGACACCACCTCTCTTGACTCCAGCTTGATTGGGCTGAACAGGTCTACGCCCTGCAGGTGGGTGGTGGCTGTGGGCTCAGTGGCCTGGTTGTAGAGGTGTCCTTGAACAGCAGGTCTCCGTCTCTCTTCACATGCCGGGCTCTGGCAGGGCCCCTTCGCTGGAGTGGATGGTGGGGCTCTGGGGTGGCTGGGCAGCCTGGGAGCCAGGCCAGGAGAGCTTGTTGGGGTCCCAGGGCCTGGATGGAGCAGGAGTGTTGGCAGTATTCCAAGGTCGGAGGAGGCCTGGGGCTCTGGGCCGAGGAGAGGAGAAGGCCCAGGAGGTGACGCCCCAGCTACCTGCTGTGTGACCTGGACACATCCCGTCCCTCTCTCGGCCTCATCTGCATTGCAAGGGGATCAGGCGGCTGCTTTCCAGTGCCTTCCCCGTGCTCTTCCTCCATAACTCCAGAAGATTCTAGGAAGTCCTCTAGGCCCTGCTCCTGGATGCTACTGTTGGGCGGGTGAGACCCCCACTTGAGGCCCGAAGGCATCTCTGGCCTCATGTCCTCATTACCTGCTCCCAGTCCATCGTTCGCCTGCCCCATTACTGCCGCAGCTCTGGGGCCTCACATTTTGGCCTGCCTCTGCTTTTCCAGCCTGGCCTGTGCTCTGACTCGTTTCTGCCCTGAGCTCAGACCCAGCTGAACACCCTCTTGTGCTCGGCCACGCCCCTGTGGAGGGCAGGCTGACATCCTGCCAGAGGCCCTGCGTGGGAGGCTGCCCAGGGGCACCTGGGGCCTGCCTGGGGCTTGAGGGGCATCGGGATGCTGGGCCGTGTGTGCAAAGGGCAGGCCCGGCTCTGAGCCCTGCAGCTGGCTGGAGACCACCTGTGGGTCACTCTATCCTGTCCATCTCTTACTGTCTCTGGAAAAAGGTGGGGCACAATCAGCCAGCAGACAGGCACCGCCCATCACTTCGGTTCTGTGGGCCTCAGCCTCCTGACTGAGAGGTGAGCTGATACCATGATTGCTGTGTTCACCACGTTATCTGTGGTGGCAACGCGAGGTGTACTCGTGTGTGCGTGTGTGTGTCTATTTATATCTGGCCTTGTTCCGAAGTGCATTTCAAGCCTCTTGTAGGAAGCCATGGAATATCAGGGGTGCCACATGTGAGAAGAAAAAATAAAAACAAGAAGAAGGACCCACTTCCCACTGGGGCCCCAGTGCAGCCCCAGAGTCCTCTACATGGATCGTGGACTGGTCGCAGATTTCGCCTTGAATATCCTGATGGTTAAGCCTCATTGGCTATGATTCCCCAACATCCAGAAGATAAAAATGACTGTCCAGCTGCATAAAATGTGGGACTGTGCACATGGCCTTGCTGGACGGAATCCCAGCAATGCTGTTTCTCAGGCAAGCTAGCCTCCGTCTCTGAATCTGGGGGTCATCGCATGCAGACACCCCAGGGCTGTGTGCAAATTAAGTGAAACAGGGCTGGTGGCTGCACGATCGGAGGAGCTCCGGGCAGAGAGGGACCCTTGCCTGGGGTGGCCAAGGGCTCAGCCAGCCAGTAGAGTGGTGAGGGCAGCAGTGTGCTTGCTGATGATGGCTCAGCCCAGCTCTGGCTGTCTTGTGGTGAGAGTGCCCTCCTGACCTGGTTGTCCTTTTGGGATCTGTTCCCCTGCTCCCCTAATCCCTGGTGCATGCTAGGCTCCCAGAGGGGTCTGGGCACACAGCGAGTCAGGCACATTGTCTGCCCTCCAGGAGCCCCCCAGCCTGGCCAGGACCCTGGGAGGGTAGGTGTGCTCACAGAGAAGGCTCCTAGCAGATGAAGGCAGGGTCCGTGTGGCTCTGTGTGTCACAGCAGCCTCTGTGTGTGTCGAGCTGTGTGATCTTGGGCAAGTTACCTGAATTCTCTGTGCCTCCATCTCATCATCGGTGAAATAGGCAGAACGTTCAACCCCACCTAATGAGATAGGAATTTTATTACCCCCACTTTACAGATGAGAAAACTGAGGCTTGGAGAGTTGATTTGCCTAAGGACACATAGCTAATGTCTGACTCTAAAACTTTCACTCACTGGTTAACGGGAGATACTCAGTCAGAGTACTCTGGGGGCAAGGGGGCTTACCTGAGGAGGGAGGGGAAGGGGGCATGGGAAGGCCAGGAGAGGGGGATGTGGAGGCCTGGCCTCTCAGCAGCATGGGAGTCCTGGAGAAGAGAAGGCCGGTTGTGCTCTTTGGGGGCACACTGCGTTGGTGGTGCCTGTGGGTCTCAAGAGAAGATGTCCAGGACTGGGGGCAGAGGTGCGAGCCTCAGCATGATGCGTTTGTAAGAAAGCCTTGTTTGTTTTGGGGATTTCATGCTGTCAGGGGGAGGAAAGATGGTTGCGGACAATTGGGAGGGAAGACGGCAGGAGGGATAAACTCCCAGAGCACCTTCACCTTGGTGGCGAAACCAGCCAAGCTGGCATGGAGCAGGCTGAGAGCCGGGCCGCCGGCCCCAGGCCTGGGGCAGCCTCCGCAGCCAGCCAGCCCAGAGGCCCTGCAGCTGCAGACCAGAGCCCACCGCTCTCTCGCCATTGCTTCAGGGCAGACACTCTGAGGATGGCGTTTCGAGGGCCCTCAGGTGGTGGCAGGTGAGGAAGCCCACTGGCTGAGGCCGCCCATTAAGGACCAGGCCTTTCCATCTGAGGGCCTTTCCATCTTCGGAATCTCACAGATTTGATTCGAATCCTGACTCTGCCTGCTGTGGCCCGCGTGGCCTTGGGTGCATTCCTGAACCCCTCTGAACTGTGGTTGTGCCCTCTGCTCGTGGGTTTAGGGAGAGCCCGGGAGAGAGGGGATGTGGCGTGCCTGGGCCATAGGGGCTGGAGAAACAGCAGCTGTCTATATGGGACTGTTTCTCCTTTGCCAGTGTCTGGGGGTCTGATGGGAGGGACTGGCAGCAATCCATCTCTGAACGGGCAAAGTCTGCCTGCACTGGTGTCGTCATAGGGTTCCATGGGCTGTGAATAGGGGCGATGGTGGTTGAGCCCATGCGGCCAGAGTGGACCAGGTCTTCCCTGGCTCCTGCAGATCCTGTCACCAAGAAGGCCCTCCCTGCCTCCTCATCCTCCACCTGCAGATGCTGGCCTCATCCTTCGGAGCTCGGCACAACTTCCCCTTCTCCTTACATCTCGAAATACCCAAATCCGAGAGCTCTGATTACCTGTCTCCCTTACTGACTACAAGCTTCTGGAAGGCAGGCTGGGACTGACTTGCCTGCTGCCAGGCCAGCACATAGTAGGGCGGGTCCCAGGAGAGAGTCTGGATTTGAACTCACTCCCAGGGTGACCTCAAGTAAGCTCTTGGGGTCTCTGAGCTTCAGTTGCTCGAGGGGGTGCACTGGCCTGTCTCAGAGTGGCAGTGTCCCTGCCAGCCCCCTACTGCCACTACGACCCTGGGCAGCAAATCACCACACAGCAATGAGGCTGTTTCTCACGTGCTGTGGGGTTCAGCTGCTCGAGGTACTCTGCTGATCTTGGTGGGCTTCCTGGTGGTGGCAGCTGACTTAGGGTGGCCTGGGGTGGGATGGCAGCAACTCTGCGCTGCTCCATGTGTCCCTCATCCCCGGCCTGATCTCCCAGGAATGGCAGAGGCACAGAAAGGCAGCAGCCATGACACACAAGCTCCTTTGAAGCCACTGTTCCTTCTGTGTCTGCTCACATCCTGATGGCTTGAGGAGGTCGCAGGTGAGCACCTCGTGGAGTGAGGGCCCACAAGTCTACTGGGAAAGCATGGGGCACCCAGAGGCGTGAGGGACCGTCTGCCACAGGGTTGGAGCCAGGACTGGAGCTGAGGGCTTCTGGCAAATGGTCGCACCCTCACCTCTGCCCTCTTGGCCCCAGGCCTGGAGTTACATAGGAGCTGGCACTCAAGCTGCACCACAGCCAGCCAGTCTGACTCTGAAGCCTGGTCTCAAGGGAAGATGCGTTTCTGTAGGATCTCCGGTGCCCCCCTTGTCCCTCCCCTGCCACCGTCACACTTGACGCTAGTGGCCAGAAGGCAGCTTAAGGGACAGGGAGGGAGACACTTCACCCTTCTCGGAGGACCTGTGTCCTGTGGTCCAAATGGCACTGCGGGCTTACTGATGCACTTGACAGGCCCTTCAGGGAGTAGTTCTGCTTCCTGCTTGGACACTGACCTGCCTGTGGCCTGGAGCACAACCCCTACTCCCATGGCCTCCTGTTCTCACCTGTGCCACGGGGCGGGGGCTCACAGGGATTTGCAAAGGAGCTTTCAGCCTAGGGCTGGGGGCTGCGGAGCGTCTCAGAGAGATACAGATAGTGAGGGTGAGAGAGAGCCATTGCGAGAGAGACGGAGACAGTGGAGTCAGGGATTAGGCCCAGTGTCTGCCTCTGATATTTGCCACTTTCGAGAAGCTTCTGTAGGCCCTTGAGTGGGGGTGCTGGGTGCAGGGTATGTGCTCCCCTTCCATGACTCTGATGATCACATTACTTGCCTGTCAGGTCTAAGGGCTGGGTGGGGGTATGGGTGGAGGTCTCTCTGATCCAGGGGCCTCCCTCCCTTCCCTGCCTGGGGGGTGGTTCCTGGCAGGGGAGGTGGGTTTATCTGGGACAGGAGCCTGGATGCAGGAAATGCAGTTACCCTGGGTGACTATGGAAAATCTAAGTTATTTCTCAGGAGCAGAGTAACGCTGGGTTGGCTCCTCCTCCTGTAGACAGAGGGGCAGGGATGCCTTGGAACTTTAATCAAGTCCCTACTGTGTGCCAAGTACTAAGCGCAGTGCGCCTCTACGTGTTAGTCCTGCAGTAGGAGCCTCTGTGCTCAGCCGTGGCGTGGTGGCTGGGAGAGGGGGCCCACTCAGGGCCCCGCTGAGAGGCGTGCAGGCTGGTGTATCTGTGAATTCATGCATTCATGCATTCGTTCCTTCAGCGCCCGCCGCACTCAGCTGTTCTGAAGACCCACGCCGGCCCTGTCCTGGAGGGGCTCTTGTCCGGGGGCGCGAGTGCTGGAATTCCAGGTCAGTTTGGATGCTGGTCCGGGTGGCACCACAGAGGTGATGGCGTGGTCACGCCCTCAGACCTTACACAGGTCCTCACAATCCCTGCCTGTGGCCAGCAGGACAAGATGTTGCTGCAGATGGCAGAGGAGGAGACCCCAGCCTGCAGCGACCTGGCTTCCTACAGGCCTTTCTGTGACCTACAGAGACCCAGCTTTGCCGGAGTTTCAGAACAACTATTGTGGGGATGTGAGGGGTACGGTGGGTTTGACTGTGGGGTGGAGGGGCGGGCAGAGAACCTACACAGCTGCCCTGTGGGAGGCCCCCATGGGGCCGGCCCCTGTGCATCCTCACCCTGATGCCCCTTGGTGTCCCTGGCCTAGCCTGCTTCCTGTCCTGAAGGCTTAGAACTGAGGCTGGGACCTCCTGGGGGTGCACTGAGGTCTGGGGGCGGGCCGTGGACAGCCTGGCCTTGCTCGGGCCCTTCCAAGTCTCAGCCTGGGCCGCCCGTGGGCCCATGATTTGGGATCTGGGCTCTAAGAACTCTAGGAACTGCTCCCCAAGACCTCAGGCTTGCCGCTGGTCCCTGGCGGGGGTGGGGTGGGGTGGGGTGGGGCTCGTGGTTGGTAGCTGGAGGCTACACCAGACAGGAAGACCCCTGAGACAAGCCTGGAAGCCCTGGAGGAGTGGGGAGGAGACCACGATGGGGAGAGAGAGGCAAGGCCCTCGTTCTGGAGCAGATTTTGAAAGCAGGGCTGGGAAGTGCTTGGGCAGGTGCACAGCAAGTGAGCTGGGACAGAGGGCCCGTGAAAGGGAGGAGCTGCATGGGGCGGGGGAAGCCAGGCCCCACCCTCCTTCCCTCCTGCCCCTCCCTCCCCTCCCTTCCCCTGTCCCCTCCGCCTCCCTTTCTCTCTCCCCCTCCTCCTTTTCTCCCCTCAGTAGTATCCCTTCTATATCTGCCCCTCCCTCCCTCCTTCAGCCACCTCTGAGCCCAGGACCCTGGTCCCTGGGCTGGCTCCGTGCGTTAGGAGATGCTCACAGTGGTGCCCCAGCCCTTTACAGCAAGAACTTCTGTGACCACCTCAGGGCCAGCTGTTAATAAGAGGAGGACAGTCTCATAGTAAGTGTAGAATCCACTACAGGCCCTCAGCCAGGCAGATGGGCACAGTGACCGCCCTGCAGCCGGGCTCCGGAGGTCATGCTGGAGGTTACGGGCATGCCCTGGGCAGCCCAGCCACCCGTTGTCCCAGGATGGACATGCTCACCTCCCCAGACCCTGTGCAGGGACCTGCTGGGGCCAGCCCCTCCCTTGGGGACAGCCCGGCCTGGCTGCTGATGGCCGGAGAGCGATGCTCTGAGCACCTCTGTCCTCAGGAAGGGCTCTTTGGAGAGGGAAAAAGAACACATTTCAACACCTCCAGATTCTGAAAATGGATTTCTCCCAGGGAAACAGAGACTCAGAGCACGCTCCCTTCCCCGAGAAAGAGCCAGGAAAACAGCGGGGGAGCAGGGGAGGGGGAAGGGGAGAGGCCGCAACAGGATGAGTATCCTGGGAACAGGATGTGGAGCCGGAGAGACCTGGATGCAAATCCTGCCGGCCAGTGACTGGCTGTGTGACCCTGTCGTATGACTTGCCCTCTCTGGCCTCAGTTTTTCTTTCTGTTCATTGGCGTAAGTCCCTGCCTCATAGGGGATGCTTTGAGGATGTAATGTGGATAAAGCAGTTCTTCATCTTCATCCTTTTCTCAGGCTGAGAAGCCTTCCTGAGTCCAGGCCAGTGTTGGAGCATTTCTGGAGGTCATCCTGTTGGACCCAGGAATGTTCAGGAGGGTTGATGAGTCTGGGACTGACTGCTGTGTGGCCTCAGCCAAGTAACCAGCCCTCTCTGGGCTCCAGTTTCCTCTTCGTAAATGGGAGCAGGATCTCCACTGACTGGTCGCTGGGAGGGTCAGCCAGGATGTGGCTGTGTCGCCAGGCACAGAGCCAGCTCCCAGGATGCTCTGAGTGGTGGGGGTAGGGGAGTCTCTGGGGGGAGGCAGGGCCTGTCTGCCCTGGGCATGGCTGGCCTTTGGCTCAGCTGTCCTTCCCTTGCTTCCAGGGCAGGCCCTCCCCTTCCCCTGCTTTGGCTGGCACAGATTTGGGGCTGCCTCCTCCAGGCAGTCTTCCCAATGCCTGGTGGAGACTGAAGGGTTCCCTGGCTCTGGCTAGTCGACACAAAGCCACCTGTCTCTGGGCACTTCGTAGCTGCCTCCCATGGGGCTTCTACACTTCCAGTCTCACCACCTCTTCTCCAGCTTCTGGAGGCATGTTTGAACGTCTGCTCTCTGCTCGGGATGCTGCCTCACGGGCAGCTGCCCACAGCTTCGGGGTGACATCCAAACCTCCTGGCTGGGCCTTTGAGGCCTCCAGGAGGGGCCTTCGCTTCCCTCTTCTGGCCCTTCCCCTGCCCCTGCCTGACACCGACCCAGCGCTCTGGTCACAGAAGCATAGAAGCCATGTCTCTACCGAGTGCCAGGCCTTGGGAGCAGCGATGGAGACCACCAGCCTTTCCACGAGGCTCCAGCCAAGGGTCTGGGAGGCAGGGCACCTTGCCGTCAGACTCACTGTCTACACTTGGACCCCTGTCTTCTGGCCCTGGGTCACGCGCCTCACACCGACCACAGATGCTCTGCGTGTGCTCCACCCACTAGTGCTACCACCTCTGCTTCTGGAGCTCCTTCCAGCTCGCCTTCCTGAATCCGAGCTGTCCTCCGAGACTTGGCCCTGATGTTGTCTCCTTACATTCCTCCTCCGATCGCCTCTCTACCTCCCTGCAGTCAGTGTTGCCTTTGACTCACAACCTTGGTTCAGCATGGTCCTGGGAGGGAGGGGAGATGGTGTTCTAGTGGCCAAGGTTCCTAGTTGTCCCCCAATATCCACTCTCCTCTCTTACTAAAGTAAAAGAAACTCCAAACTTGAGCTGAGTCCATGGCTGCTCTTTCAAATTCTCAGCCCTCCATGTAACTCCATGGACTTAGACCAATGACAGGTAAGAAATAACCTGTGAAACCTTTGAGTCCTGCCCCTAGAGGGAAGAGAGGTGGCTTCCCTTTCTTTCTGTTTCCTCTGCTAGATGACAGACGTGATGGCAGGAGCTGGAGCAGCCATATTGATTGCAGAATGGAAGCTGGGTGTGGAGGATGACAGAGCAACAGGGCAGAAAGAATTTGGGTCAACACAGCATCAGCCTAGACTGTGGAAGCTCAGACTGCTACACGAGAGGGACAAAAGAAAAACAACCTTCTATCTGGTTTAATCCAGTGTTACTTTGACATTTGTTACAGCAGCCAAAATGTATCCTAATTAGTACAGATCCAGGGAGAGAAGTACATCAACTGTTTGCAGAATGACTAAGTGATTACCAACCAGAGGTCAGCGAGCCACTGCTTGGAGGCTGCCTTTCAGAGGATGTGGGGTCATGGAGGGGTGTGTGCATGGGTCTGAGTCCTGGCTCTGCCACATCATAACTGTGGCTCCGTGGGCAAGCTGTGTCATAGCTCAGTGGCTCAGATGCCTCTTCTGTGACATGTGGCTGAGAGGAGGTGACGCCCATAAAGGGCCTGGTTTCAAAGGGGCTTTTTAAAAAATTCTTTATATTTGTTTTTTTAAAAAATGTATTTTTTGGGGGGAGGTAATTCAGTTTATTTGTTTATTTATTTATTTAATGGAGGCACTGGGGACTGAACCCCGGACCTCGCGCATGCTAGGCAGCAGCTCTGCCACTGAGTCACACTTTCCCCACAAAGGTGCTTATTGGTGTTGGGTTTCAGTGAGGGCTGCAGGGTCCCCCGACCCTCTTCTGGCCTGCCCCTCCACTGTCACCTCCCCATTCCTAGTCAAAGGGACCGCCCTCCTCTCCCCTGCACCCCTGCCTTTCCCGGAGAGAGCTGGTGGATTTAATGAGCCCACATGAAAACATCCAGCTTGTAACAATGAATATTTTCCACCAGGACTTTTCTTGTGCTAAATTAATGATCTTGGAAGCTCTGGACATGGCTGCAGAGGAGAAAGGGGAGTTTCCTTTCCAGAAGCTGTTTCAGTATCGCAGGGCTCTAGGCGCCCTGGGCTGCCCTTGTGCGCCCCCAGCCCCTGCTGTCCCCGCAGGAAGCAGCCCTGACTTGACCCCTTCAGAGGAGCCTCCTTGGAGCTCTCTGCTCACCCCTCACTGGTTGCATGGAGCCTGGCAGGCCACACCTTGCCCCTGGGCAGCCTCCAGTCCAGAGCGCAGGCCCCTGCAGCTAACCGACGAAGTCAGGAGGAGGCTTCCCTCAGCCCTGGTTCCATTTTTGGGGCCCTGGACTCCAAGACCCATGAGCCCAGAGGGGCCAGATAGGCACTGAGCCAGGAGTTTCAAGCTCCCTACAGGTCGCCCTGGTGGCAGTGCTGAGGGTGGGGGCCTGGGAGAGTGGGTCTGGGGGTCCCACCCCCAGGTCAGTTGGCGGCCTTGCTCTCTTTCATATTTCAGCTAGAATATGATACAGAGGGATTCACAGCTATAAAAACATCGTTTGAGAGTAGATGGTGTGGTTCCCAGCCACCCCATTTAAAACATTTTTAATTGTGGTCAATTACATATAACATAAAATTTACCATCTTAACCATCTTCTCGCATAGCATTAAGTGCATTCACATGTTGTGCACCCATCACCACCGTCCATCTCCAGCACTTGGCATCTTGTGGAACTGAAACAGCATTCAACACTCACTCCCCACCCCCTCCCGCAGCCCCTGGCAACCACTCCTGCTTTCTGTCTCTGTGAACCTCACAGGAGGGGAATCGTAAATGTTTGTCCTTTTGTGACTGCTTATTTCACTCAGCACAGTGTCCTTAGGATATATCCCTGTCGTAGCCAGAGATGTCCTTCCTCCTTCGGACTGAATCAGGCTCCGCTCTCGCATATCCGCACATTGTTTATCCATCACCCATCAGTGGACATTGGGTTACTTCCACCGTTTGGCTATTGTGAGCAATGCTGCTGTGAACACGGAGGTACAATGATCTCTTCGATATTTCAGTTCTTTTGGGTGAATTGCTACATCATAGGGTAACTCTATGATTAATTTTTTTGAGGAACTTTCATGTTGTTCTCCACCTCGGCCGCTCCATTTGATGGTGCACGGGGACTCCTGTTTCTCTGCATCCTCGCCGCACTTGTTCTTTCCTATTTTGTTTCCGAGTAGCCATCCCGATGGGTGTCAGAGCCCATACTTACAGGCGGCGACCTGAGATGCTAGGAGGGGCTGGTCCCAGGGCTGTTTGTGGGCCTGGGTGGGGGCCCTTGGGGAGTCTGGGCCTTCGGGCTCCTCTGCCCGCCCCTCCCAGGGCTGCGTCTTCCTTGGGGTGGTTGGTCGATGCTCTTCCCGGCAGCCCTCAGCCCCTGGGCTCTCGCAGCGGCAGGCTGTGGCTTCCTGCTGCTGCCTTGCCTCAGTCCTTTGAGCCCCTGGGCCCTCGTACCTGCACTGTGGTGTGGTTTAGAGCATGAAGCTCTGTCCCCCAAACCGTGAGCTTCTAGGCCCACGCAGGGCAGAGAAGCTACTGAAGCTATTGAAAGTCTAGGGTTCGTTGGAGGTAGGGTAGTGGGGGTGGGGGAGGGCGCACCGGCGCCGCGCCCGGCC